CTTGGGTCCCCTGCAAGAATGGACAAGCTCTTCAGCACTGACTTGTTTGAGGTAGTTAGTTAGCTCTCTCTGAGCTCCAAATGGCTCACACTTGTGGACCTGCCCAAGAGCTATCTGGATTCTCCAATGAAAGACACACACACACACACACACACACACACACACACCAGTAAATTTTAAAATGTCTTGACTAGGTCTCAAAAGCTGGGCAGTTCTAATCCTCTACTGGGCTAGAACACATTTCCCTCCAGTACTCCTGGCTCAACACCTTCTAAATCTATGGTTTATCTTTGCTGGCCTATTACATTCTGGGAAGCCCCTCCCATAGGACTGCTTTCCCTTTACACATACGTTTTGGATGAATTTTCTTCTGCAACTCTAAATCTGACCTATCTCCCTCAGAGATATGGCCATTCTCCTCTTTTTCCTCTCTTCCGGATCCTAGTCCAGTGAATTTCAAAAGTCCTGCCTCAGTTTATCTGCCCAGCCATTGGTCATTGGCTCTTTATTGATCAATCAAAACCCAATTGGGGACAAGGACCTCCAGCATTTAGACATGCAGATTTCTGATTTGAATTCCGGATTCATTCAAAGCATTAGAGCCAATTCCCAACAGACCTGTCGCTCCAGCACATCCAGTATCTCTCTTGGTAGGAGACATAATACCCATGGGGAGAATACTCAGCTTGTAAAATGAACTGAGAGGAGGGTGTCTGAGTCAAAGAGTTTTTAACTCCCAGCAATTCAAAAGCAGTCAGAATACAATGAACAGATTAAGGGACAAGGAGTCAAGACAGGTGAATTAGTCAAAGTACAATAGTATCTATGAATAGAATGATAATTAGGGGCTAGAGAGATGGCTCTGCAGCTAGGAGCTTCTACAGCTTCCGGAGGACCCGTGTTCGGTTCCCAGCACCCAGGTTAGCCAGCTAACACAGGGAACCTGAGGGCTCTGGTCTCCAAGGGGGTAACTATAGGTATGTGTACATACATACACTTAAAAAGAAAATAAATGAAATGATATAATTAAACAGTCAAATTTGTTAATTTTGTATATAGATTATTTTTAAGAAGTAAACAAACAAAAGGCATCAATTTAAGTGGTGGCTCTGGTCATCAGTATTCCCACCTTTAAGTTGGGAATAACAGCACTGACTCCATACTTGTGAGCACGTACAGCAGCCCTGGGTGCTGGTATGCAGCTTAGTCCATCTAACCAGAAGGACTCCGTTCACTCTGTGACCTGCAGCCTGCTCTTCCTGAGCTCTGCAGTGGCTCAGCTCCCTAGGCCTCTGACCAGTGTGTTCCAAGGCCAGACTTTGAACATTGGAGGCAGATGCTGTAGAGCCAGCTTGAAGGACAGCACTCGGGGAGACGGATGGGATGGAAGCCTCCTGCAGAGGGAGGGGCAGCTCTCCATGATCCTCAGCTGCGTTCTTCTTGTTGGTTTCTGAGACCAGGACTTGTATGTGATCCAGGCTGGTCTTGAGCTTCAGGGCTCACATGCTTCTCAGCCTCAGCTCTTAAACAGCAGGGCCTGGCCTGCTTCACCATGGGTGTATTGTACATGTTCTACCTACCCTCTAGGAGATCGGTGAAGTCTGTCCTCTGGGGTCTGTCCTGACCAAGGGCCATGACAAGAAGGTTAACTGGCAATGTGCAACTTGACTCTTCCTCACAGTGGAAAAGCAAGCCCAAACCAACTTAGCCCGATTCCTGTCTCCCTCTGGTCTGGGATCTGCAGTGGTGGAGATCTGACCTGAGGAGGTGTATAGTGAATGTTTTGGCTTCTTTAAAAACCAAGTTATATTTTGTGAATTTTTTTTTGTTGTTTTAATTCCAGGTTTGGGGTATGGCACTACTTCAGTTTGCCCACAGCTGTAAATATGACTGTCTTGTGCTCTAGGAGAGGCATGATTTTTGCCAGCTGCAGGTAGTTTAATTCTGTGGACTCTGGAGAGGAAATAAATGCCAGAGGTAGGTGTGTGTGTGTGTGTGTGTGTGTGTGCACTCATGTGTTCGTGTGTCTGTGTGTGTATGTCTGTGTGTATACGTGCGTGTGTGTGCACTCACTCATGTGTGCATGTGTGTGCGTGTGTGCGAGCGTACTCATGTGTGCGTGTGTCTGTGTGTGTGTGCCTGTACACATGCATGCCCTGAGGAGCTCCTGCTCCACGCTGCTGCTGCTGTTTGCTTTTGTGGTTTGATGAGAAGATATGGACATATCCTGAAGATGAAATTGGACCTGCCCTAAGGAACTCAATGCACCCAATCAGCAGGAAGTAGTCAAAAGAGGTCTATGTCCCCTTTCCCTCTCTCTAGCCTTCTTTCTCTCCCACCTAGCTAGTGGAAGGGAGTTGGAAGCCATGCTGGTACACAAAGATTGGAAGGGAGATAGGGGTATAAGAATCCAATAAAGGGGCTGTTGAGATGGCTCAGCGGTTAAGAGCACTGACTACTCTTCTAGAGGTCATGAGTTCAAATCCCAGCAAACACATGGTGGCTCACAACCATCTACAATGAGATCTGATACCCTCATATGGGTGTCTGAAGACAGCTACAGTGTACTTACATATAATAAATAAATAAATCTTAAAAAAAAAGAATCTAATAAAATAACAAAAACATTCACACCAACAGAGGCTCCTTGTGTTCTGTGTGCAGATCATGGTCTGGATTATTCTACTGGACTGTTCTGGGCTCTGGCTCCAGGTGAAAATTGGAACACTTTGTAGGGATGAGCTATACCTTGGATTGGTGAGCTGAGTCTAGGAACAGGATGCTCCTGGTTCAAAGAATCCTACCTGACTTGTTTGAGTTCAGTTGCCCTAGTACTTTCAGCCATGGGGCAGTCTCTCTAGAAGTTCAACGGAGGATGAACTAGGAATTCTATGTTCTACTGTCTCACTCAAAGAACATTTAGTCACTTAAAAAAAAAAAAAAAAAAAAAAGGTAGTGCCAGAACTTTGTGGGCAGTGATAGGTGGATTTCTGTGAATTTGAGGCCAGCTTGGAACACAGGGAGTTCCAGGCTAGTGCAAGCTACTTAGGACCTTGACTAAACTCAGGGGGTAGGGGATTAGGGCATGGTGGCACACACCTTTGATCCTAGCACTTAGGAGGCAGAAACAGGCAGATCTCTGAGTTTGAGGCCAGTACTCTGCTTTAATAGGGAGTTCCAGGACAGCCAGGACTACACAGAAAAACCTTGCCTTGAAAAGCAAGCAGACAGAAAAATACACACATGCGTGCGTGCGTGCGCGTGCGCGCGCACACACACACACACACACACACTCGGAAAAAAAGTAAGAAGGTAGTACTGGTGAGATGGGCCAGTACACACAGGCACTTGCACCCAGCCTGATGTCCTGAGTTCAACCCCCACCTGTTGGGATGGAGAGATTCTTCTCTAGGAAGTCACTCTCTGACCTCCATAAGTGTGGGTGCATGTGCCCACCCTCCACGAATATATGGGTTATAAATGTTTTTATTTCATTTATTGTTATTATTCTTTCTGTCTGTTTGAGAGTAGAGGTGTTCACCACCAAACCCCAGCTATATTTTTTCTAAGAAGTGGAGAATTAGCGTAGTGCATGATGGGAAACAACTCACCATGAGAAGTGATAAACTTGACAGCATCTCAAGTGGAACCTTTGGGGACCTCACTAGGATAATTAATTAATTTCTTCTTTGATAATAAGTAGAGAGCTGAATTATAAATCTGGATGACTCAGGGCCTTAATGACCTTGGTGTCAACTTCCTAAGGAGGACACCTCTCAGAAGTTAGTTGCCTGTGGATTATCTTTGACCTTTCTTGTGTTCTCAAGATGAATGTGCTGTACCAGACATGTTTAGTACCTCTTTGGGCATGATAGAAAGGAGCGTTCTCAAATGAAGATTTTTAAGGAAGACAGCTTAAAAAGTTTAGACTATTGGAAAATATCCAAAGATTTAAAAGGAATGTTTTGCTGGGCATGGTGGCACATGCTTGTAATCTTAGCACTCTGGAGGCAAAGCAGGAGAGAAAAGCATTTAAGGATAGCCTAGGCTATATAGCAAGTCTTGGGCTAGCCTTGGCTACATAGTGAGCAGGGAGAGCAACCAAATGGTCTTGTGGGTTCTTTTCAGAAAACACTGTATGCTTCTGGAACAGCAGCTTAGAGAAATTATATTCTCCTCCAGCTGCCTGGCTGATAGGCTGTTCTTCTTCCCCTGAGATTTCTCATCCAACCTGGAGAGAAATAGGCACTCAGGCAGAGGTCAAGCTGAGTCCTTTTCTGTGTGTTCCTCAGCAGGACATGCTCCCTCGGTGGCCAGGACAGTGTCGTCAGCACCTCTGCACTTACCTTGCTCATATTCTCCATGCCTCCAGCAACCACAATGGTGGAGTCGCCCATAGCTATGGACTGGGCTGCAAGACACACAGCTTTTAGGCCCGAGCCACAGATCATCTGGCAGCTCCATGCTGGGACCGAGTAGGGGATCCCTGCACCCACACTGGCTTGTCGAGTAGGATTCTGTCCACAACCTGGAACAAGGAACACAGAGCCTGGAAGTCTGTGGTTCACAGCCTGTTGGTGGAGACCCTTTAGGGGGCTGCTTATCAGATATTTACATTATAATTCATAACAGTAGAAAATTCAGTTATGAAGCAGCAATGACATCCTTTTACGGCAGTGTGATCACCACACGAGGAACTGTATGAAAGGGTTGCCACCTTAGGAAGGTTGGGAACTGCTGCCCATGAAGAAGGAGAAAGGATTTTAAAACATCAGTGTTCAAGTGTGGGCTAAGTGCCAGGAGACCGCCTGCCACTGTGGCATACCTGCAGGCCAGCTAAGATTCCACAGCAGCAGAGAAGCCTGTCCTCCTCTCTGCCTGTCACTCCAGCCCTGGGACAGATGTCACCTTTGTGTAACTGCTAATAGTTTCAGAGAGAAGCTTCTTGCTGGGCAGTGGTGGCACACGTCTTTAATCCCAGCACTTGGGAGGCAGAGGCAGGCGGATTTCTGAGTTTGAGGCCAGCCTGATCTACAGAGTGAGTTACAGGACAGCCAAGACTACACAGAGAAACCCTGTCCCCTGTCTCAGAAAAACAAAACAAAAAACAAACAAACAAACAAACAAACAAAAAAGAAGAAGCTTCTTCCTCCACAAACAGTGTTCCTAATACCTTAACATGGACCCTTAAGAGCTTCATCTCTATTGAGGTCTGTTCCCTTAGCATAGTGCAGCCATTTTGTTCCACACCTTCCAGTTACTGACACTGAAAACAGCTTGACTCAGAGCAGTGTCGTGCTGACCACATACCCTGTTCTGTTCTGTACGTCCTCAGACTTGTTCATCTTTCAGCTCAGCCCAGCTGTGCTGGTATTCTTTTTCTCCAATTTTATTCTTGTCTGTCTAATGATAGCTTTGCTTGTTCTGTCTATGGCTCTTAGGTGTTTGGCCTGTTGTTGGGTTTCTTCACCCAGTTTGCTCGACTCCACTCTAAGGATATGCCTCATACACCACCCCTCCTAGTCCTATGCCCTTTCTCCCATCTCATCTCTGCCCTCTTCTCTTTCATACTTTATTTATTTATTTATTATTTATGAATACACTGGAGCTGTCTTCAGACACACCAGAAGAGGGCATCAGATCTCATTACAGATGGTTGTGAGCCACCATGTGGTTGCTGGGATTTGAACTCAGAACCTCTGGAAGAGCAGTCAGTGCTCTTAACCACTGAGCCATCTCTCCAGCCCTCTTTCATACTTCTTAATTATAACCTTCTGTAGCTTTAACAGACGCTAGCATCTGTGGACTATAACAGTCTCCCTCTCTCCCTCTCTCCCTCTCTCCCTCTCTCCCTCTCTCCCTCTCTCCCTCTCTC